GCAGTAGGTAAGCAGCAAAACGTCCGCAGAACGAGTACCAGCCATAAGTCAGGAGCCTTGGAAGAGGTGCACCCGGTGCACCAAATTGTGTGCAGGCTCACCCCTCAGTACACCGCTCACTATAAACCTAAACCCTAAACCCAAACCCCTAAACCCTAAACCCTAAACCCTAAACCCTAAACCCTAAACCCTAAACCCTAAACCTTAGACCCTAGACCCTAAACCCTAAACCCTAAACCCTAAACCCTAAACCCTAAACCCTAAACCCTAGCCCAGAACAGCACAGTCTTGTGAGCTTAGCTGCACGGTGACCCATGTCTCGAGAGCTTCCCAGGGAACTTCGCCCTCGGCCAGTGTCCAAGGTGGCCTGCGGTCAAGGTGTTGTAACAGTTGGGTCGGGGATCGGCATCGTCGGCCGCATCCCTGCAAGTTCTTAACATTTCAAGATTTCAGCTCGTGTGCAAGGGAGGCTCTTGCTGACTCCTGGCAGGGACGGCAAGGCTGCCGCCGTGCGGCGACTCTCAAGAAAGATTCCGGTGAGAAGGCTAAAACAAGTTAAACGCTTTTTGACCCTAAACCCTGAACCCTGAACCCTAAACCCCAAACTCAACAGCCTAGAACATCCCGAGCTCTTGGGGGAACCTTCGAGGCCGGCAGCCGGAGGCCATCTTCCATGGGTCTTGAAGCACTTCGGGTTTCCCGAAACCAGGGGGGTGGGGAGGGGAAACCTGTATTCCATGGTTACCCTAAACCCTAAACCCTGAAACCCTGAAACCCTAAACCCTGAAACCCTAAACCCTAAACCCTAAACCCCTTGTTTGTTGGTAACTTCGCGCGTGTCGGCTTGCAGGTCGTCATGCTTCGGCGGCAGCGACATGTTATGCAGCGTATCCGTTGTGGCGCCTTGTAAGGAGGTGGGGAAGCTTCGAAAAGCATGCTCACTTCGAGCCAACCACGGACACAGGCAGAATGCACTAAACCCTAAACCCTTTTTTGCAACTGGGCTGGGGACTAGCCAGTCTAGTCCAAGGCTGAGCGCGGGACTCAGCCTGATGCCCGTGAGGGTTGTCCAGCATGGCAACGCACATGGAGTGGTGCACCCTTGGACAAGCGGGTGCAGTGGAGGACTACCAATCGCGCAGATGATGATCAGTGGGCACAGATCTTGCCCCTCTCTCCTCTTTTGCCTAGACAAGGAAAACGTCTTCCTTGCTCTGTCTTCTCATCAAGGATTCTTGGCACGTGGGCATCTCTGATGTGTTGCCAGGACCTCCCAAACCCACCATGAAAGCATGCGGAAACTGTGCAACGGGCAAAGGAAGAATAAAGCCAACAGGCCTTCTTTGAACGATGACGCACGAGTGCCTGCAGTGCCTTCCCCCCATGCGCCCCACGAGGCCCATTGGGGGCACCTGAAGCGTCAACCGCCTCGAGAAGCTAAACACGGCCCTTTAATCTCTCTGCCGCAATCCGCTCGGTCAGAAACTTGCACTCTTCATTGGTATAGAAATTTGGCAGTCGTTAGTGTTTCCACGTCCTTGGATGTCGCACCCAGGACCCATTTCTTCCACAGATGATGGACAGAAACACGTGAACTCCCGCGCAACCCGGACCGCCCAGAAGTAAGGCAGCACAGAAGTGCAGCGATCCCGCGGTCAAAGAGCGCAGGGCCATCCACAATTGAACCGCAGCATCCCTTGCGTTTCGCAAAAACCGAATGCAGCAGGCAATATATCTTATTTCTGCGGATCCCTGGCAGTAGTAACCACAGAACCAGAAACGACTTTCGTGACAACATGCTCACCCTCAGGGCCTCGTAGCCACATGTACTGAGCCAAATGGCCCTTGAGCCCCAAAACTCCAACCCCTAAACACCAACCCAGATTGCTCAAGATGGACGCAAGAGACAAAAGTTGGAAACAAAGGGAAAGGAATCCGAGGCAAGCGCCCTGTGGCGACCTGTTTCCAAGCACAACAGCAAGCAGCCAAGAACATCCCTGGAACCATCTCATCTGAGTGTAGGGTTTAGGGTGTAGGGTTTGGGGTTTAGGGAGGTTTGCGTTTAGGACTCACCAAACTACTGGTTAGAAATCAAACCAGAGTCGTCACCCACCCCCGCCTCTACCCCTATCTACCCCTACTACCCCCCCCCCCGCCCCCCTCGCCCTCAGTGGGCAGCTGAACCCTGTTCCTGCGGCACCTTCAGCCCCTCAATAACCCTAAACCCTAAACCCTAAACCCTAAACCCTAAGCCCTAAGCCCCTCAATCTTTAACAGCATCTCAAGGAGCCTGGGTGAGCGTGTAGTTTCGACCACCTCAAAGCGACACCGAGAACACACAGGTTTTCAGAGTCTGCGCTGTCCGAATGCTAGAGGTACATGTGCGTATATCCGTGCATGTATTTATGTATATGTATTTATGTATATGTATTTATGTATATGTATTTATGTATATGTATATACATGATACCATATATGTATATGAATACATATATGGTATATGTATACATGTATGCGGCTCCTTCCTCAGCATGGGCGTGAGATCTTTGACGCACAGCAACTACAGTAAACGAAAAGCCTGTGACGCAGTCTGGTCACAACTTTCCCTAAACCCTAAACCCTAAACCCTAAACCCTAAACCTTGCTGAGGACAATTCCTTTTATCAAGTTTTCACCGCTTGGAACGCGAGACTTCCCTGCACGCTTCTGGCAGGCAGCCCTTCTGGCAGGAGCCACTCCAGTGTACCCCTTGACACATGTTGCACATGTCGCTCATAGACCAGTCAAAATGGCATCCGCCGGCCCTATAAGCTAACAGTCCCCCCCTTCTACTGGGAAGAACCCAAGAAAAACGAAGCTGCTTGGAAGCTTGTGTAGCAACGAACCAAAAAAACAAACGGCACGGCGTGCCACCAGTCTCCAGCTTGGTCCAGAGCCGCAAGCTTGATGACATGCGCAACCTAGCTACCCAGGTTTGCCACTCTCAGCGTCTGCGTCGGGAGCGCGAACGGGAGTCGCTCGAGTCTCCTTGAGAAGGGAGCAACAGCTACCGATCACTGACCCCCCCCCCCCAAAAAAAAAAAAAAACATGAAGCACAAGGATCAGGCTTGGAAATGCGAAAACTGAGCGAGCAGCAAAACAAAGATACAGGCCAGTTGGTTCCGATGACCAGCTGTCCCATTTCTACAGGTCTAGCGGCTGACGTGTCGACCCACCTGTCTCTGGAGCTAGGAGGGTCCCTGGCCCAAGTCCTAGGGAGCCTGGAGCCGTGAGGCTTGAAAAGGGTCCCCACTCATATGGCTTTCTGATGCTAATTCAAAAAATGTCAACTTCTGGGACGGGGTGTAAGAGGCGGTGCTGTTATGCTTTTCATCAAACCTCAACCGACGTTTCTCTGAGCCGGGGCACGTCGTCGCCGCCTACGGTCGTCATCGTCATCTCGGCGGCTGCGGTCACCTTAAGGGTTTTGTTCCAGCTAGTGTGCCTGAAGGGGCTGCGACTCTGACAACCCACAAACCCAGGTCAGACTCCTAAGACCATGTCCACATCGCTGGCACCTAACTTAGGCAGCTGCGGCTCACGAAGTGATGCACTGCCAGTCTCATCAAATAAATCGGCAATGACAAGCTTCGACTCGCTCTCTCTCTCTCTCTCTCTCTCTCTCTCTCCAGCATGGCATAGCTTCCCACCTCTCGCTTCAACAGCCGTTCACCCTCCCAGACACCAGATCAACTCGTGGCAAGCAGCGATCGCGGCGGTCGCGATCATCCCGGCCCCGACGATCGAAATCCTGGCTGTTCAAAGTGCAAACGTCCCGTACACGCTCAGGACCTTCTATTCGGGGAGGTCAGGGACAGGCTGGTGCGATGCGACGTGTTCGCAAGGACGCAGCATGTTGTGCACTTTTCAAGCACAGAGACACCAGGCTATCGAATGGCTCGCCCAATGCGGTCTGGAGGCATCATAGCGACGCCCAGAGCCCCCCCCGGAAGAGGAGGGTCCTGACAAGGTGCCGAATGGGTAAGCTGTCTGAATGGGCGTTCTAAGCGCATTTGCGTCAGATCGAGCTTTGGGCTCAAGGATCCTGTCCTTAACTCTCACAACCGACACCTTGCCTGACTTTCAGGCAGTTACCTGGCCCCGGGCCTCCAGAAGGCACTACAAGGTAGCTGCACTCTATTCAGCAATCGGCTTCTGCCTCCTTCATGGAGGAAGCGACATGAATCTCCGCGATCACACCGCCCTCGCTTGAAGTCTCCGCAGATTTCCTCCCGGGAACACGAGAGTTGCCGCAAGGAAGTAGGTGCCTTAAGAGTGCGCTGATGATGTACACGGCTTCGCTGTGCTTCGCTCTCGGCTTCGCTCGGCTCGCCAAACCCCCCAGAAGCCTTGAAACCGGGCTTTCCTTTCTTGGGACCTGGGCCACTGAAAGCCACTGGCAGCCATCATCAAGCGGCGTGTCGTGTCGTCTTTGCATGACCCAATTTACATACAGAGTCTGCCAAAGGACAGTGGGGCTCCACATCAATCCACAGGAGACAAAGAGTTCGAGAAATCGTGGACACCTCCCGAGGGCCCGGCAGTCGCGAGAGATGTGGCCAAACTCTCCTGGGCAACTAAACCCTACACCCTAAACCCTAAACCCTAAACAGCATTCGCAGATGACTCGAGACACGAGGCAAGCATGGATTAACCTCTCCGCTGCCATTCTTGCCTGAACACGAAAGTCCGAAGGCGTTCGGAACAGGAAAGACTGACAAGTAGCCAGGAATGTGCAATCGTCCCTTGGAGTACCTTGGAGTAATTTGGTCCAAAGCTCCACAAGTGTAACACTCCCCCATGCTGCCGCGCTGGCACCACAGGCAGAGGGGAGCAGCCCTTCGCAAGGGCACTTGAGCCGATATGAGCCAACAAATCACCGAAAACGCCCAAAAGTGAAGTCCAGGAATGTCAGGGGAGGGGCAACAAAGGACACCAAGAAGCTTTGGAATCAGGATCAGCACCTCTCTAGTGCTTCATGTGACTCAAATCTCAGCCGGAATCATTATTCTCAGCTCCTGAAAAAACACCAAGAATTGAAACCTCGCAGCTTCTGCCTAAGCTGGCAAGGCCCTGGCGGCGCTCGCGCATGTCCTGCAGCTCTGGAATCTGTAATCGCCACGGCCTGAAGCTTTCAAAAGCGGAAAGACTTCACTGGGGAAACTGCGATGTCGTAAGAACACATATGTGGATTTATAATGATTTATATATAGTGCCCAGATAGCGATTACTGCATTGTGTATTTACACACACACACACACAGATCCTTGCCGCACTAGGCCCCAGGCATATCTATGACGGGCGAGGCATTGGGCAAGCCTAGCTGGCCACGATCGTTCTTACCTGGGGCTCGGCGGCTTCGCGGCAACTCTGAGGGGAAGGGAGAGGCTGCAAATACGTTACACGTCTGAATGACTGGGAAACCCTGGTGAAGCAGCTCACCCGCGAAAGTGCCTCTACCAGACCCATCATCTTGCAGCAACACATCCCTGCGGCGGACTGAAGTGTTTTGAGTCTCGGCAATCTGTTCCACAATCCACTTTTGAGTGAAACGCGAACTCACTGGTACCCTGCGAGTGGGAAGTTTCATTCGCTTTATATCAGCTCCTCCTGTCTCGCCTCGCACTCGCCGGGCAAACACTTCGCCAGTGTTGGTGAGCGATGTCATCGCCCCTCACCAGACTTCAAAGCTAGGCGGGTACCTGAGCTGGATATGCCGCAAATGCGCCGAAACACAGCCGATGCTTTGGTACGCTGCGAACCCAGTCTTCCACACCTCCTACGGGCTCTACTTTGCTCGTTTAACTTCGATCGTCAGCCTCTTGAACACTTGCCACTAGCTGGGAGATGATCTGCTTCTCCACGCCAACCTTCCACGATGCAATGTTAAAAATGCTTGCACGAACTCAAGAACATGTGGTGAAGGTGGGGTAGAAGTTCGGGTTGTGCAGTTCGCCCTTGCCTGCCATTGCCGGTACTCGAGGAAACTTGGGTAGTTGCCAGCAGCTGCCACATCCCCTCGCTCCTGCGTGAGCCGCGTGAGCGTGGCTTCATCGCCACCATCCACAAAACTGGCTCATGGTTGGGATCGTATTAAGAATTTAAATTTACATTCCGTATTGGGTGTAAGTACCCTTAAGAATGCAAAATGATACCCAACTATGACCAAGAAAAGATGTCAAGAGATGCTGGCTTCCTGACCCTCTGCTCTTTAGAGCACTCGCTTACCGGGGAAGACAGAGCACTGCGCACAGACACGCCACTTGATTCCGTCTCCTCGAAGAGTTGCACACGCAGCCGGAGCATGGCATCAGCATGATAGTTGCGTAAAGCCACCTCCTGGGTTCGACTCTTGGCATCTTCAACCCTCGCAGGCGCTTCGAGCCGTCTCCCTCGCCACACACTGTGCACCCGGAGCCCGAAATGCCGACCCAGCGGCGAACTGAGAAATGTCGCGAGGGTCCACCTTCTCAATGGTCATGGGGTCGAAATCCTGGATCGAGTCCTGGGGCTGGCAAAAGCAGCCAAGGAGAAGCCTACACTGCCTACACATCCGGAGTGTGCTCTGAAAAAAGCTCCCAGTGACGTAGGCAGCCGAATCCGGGAAGCTGTCAGACACCGGGACCGCCTGCACAGGGTTAAAGGAAGCCGAGATGCCCCGTCTCACAGCCGCACAGAATGGGATCAACTGAGATCAACTTCTCAGTCTGAATCACTGGAGTGACAGAAACACACTAGAGGCCTTGATAGAGTCACCTGAATCTCGAAAAGACCTCGAGTACTGAGCCTCATCTTCACCCTGCCCCTTCTTCATCATCTTCTTGAGCGCATCGGCGATGTACTCCTCACCTGAGAAAGAACTGTCTCACCCAGCTCAAGTTGCCATGCGTCGAAGCTCATTTCACAGAGGCAACCTTCTTATGCTTGCAGGTACCACATACTATATAAACAGAAGTGTATATATATATATATATATATATATATATAGATATATATATATATCATACAATATAATATAATGCAATATAATACAATACAATACAATACAATATAATATAATATAATATACTATAATACAATATAATATAATATAATATAATATAATATAATATAATATAATATATGTATATGTATATATACAATAGATATTATACAATGTACATATATACAATAGATATTTAAAAAATACATATATATATATATAGATTGAAACATGCTATCACCGAACACGCGGGGCCCGGAGCAAAACCCCGAAAAGATGCGAAGTTGGGAGGGGCACGGGCTGCGGAGCGAGCTGTGGTTCCAGCACTGCGGCTTTAGGGCTTTAGGGTTTAGGGTTTAGGGTTTAGGGTTTAGGGTTTAGGGTTTAGGGTTTTGGGTTTAGGGGTTTGGGGTTTAGGGTTTAGGGTTAAACCGAACCCAAGCCCTATCTCCGCTGGTTGGTCCTGACTTGCCCTGCCTGGACTAGGGTTTCAACCAGGCCACACTTACGACTCCATCCAAGCCGTTAAGCTTTCCATGTGCTCATCGCACATCTTACGCGAACACGCCAATCCTCATATCTGCATCCTTTCAGCTCAAGACAAGGCCCCTGAAGAAATCGAACCCATCAACCAGGACACGTGATAACGAGCACCATGTCAATGTCTGACACGCATGCCAAACTAAAACACGTTAAACCAACGGCCGCCCCCCTTGCCCTTGCAGAGCACAAACCGCCCTATCTGCAACTCATCGGCCATGCAGCAGTGCCTTGCTTCTGGCAAGCTGCGGCCCATATGGTCAGGGGTTGGAGACTTCATGGATACGGATCCAAGTCGCTTTCGTCAAAGGAGATAGTCACCACTCTCCAACCACAAACGCCTTGCTGGCAGCGCTTTGCTGAGAAGATCTCGCAACCGCGTGTCATCGCATCGCAAGGTCTGTGCCGGTTTGGTTATTAACACTAGTAACATTGTTAATGCTAATATTTTAGATATTATTAATATTCTGTATATTACTTACAATTTTTATTATTCTTACTCGTAGTATTACTATTATTATTGTTATTATGATTATTATGGTTCGGTCTTCGCCACTACCACTCCCCACCCCCCTTTTTGGGGCGACAATGGCTCCAGGATTCTTGAAGAAACCGAAGAAACTGGGAGCGAGAGAGAGACTGAAGCATCGCCCAGGCACGGAGCAGTCGCCGCTTGAAGGCAGCAGGTCCATTCAGGCCGCACTCCACGAACTCTCTGGCCTCTCATATCGGGACTCCAGTTCAAGAGGGCTTCTGAATACAAGGATTGTGCCGGGTTGTGCCCATTAAGTTGGGGGGTGGGGGAGCCTGTAATTAGGATTCTCGCGCCTCGGGAATCGGGTCAATTGAGGACTGTGGGGAGACGTAAGGCTGTTTGGGGCTGGAGGAGACGGCTTGAGGAGAGGGCTGGAGAGGGACTGGCCCTCCCATCGGGTCGAAAAAACGATGTCGGTCGGGACGGTTCTGGCATGTGTTTGGGGCATCCCGAAATTTTACCCATCTGAACCGCCCGCAACCTTCAAAACTTCCCGCAAAGCTTCCTACACAAAGAACGCGCAGACCCAGACCTAGACACATGGACCTCTCTACTGTCTACGGCGACTCAAAAACCTTGTATACACTACGAGTACCCTCGCCCCAGTGGCCCGGCTCAGTCCTTGAAGCCCCTTTTGAGTGCTGCCCTAAACCCTAAACCTGAACCCTAAACCCTAAACCCAAAACCCAAAACCCAAAACCCTAAACCCCAACTAAACCCTAAACCCCAAACCCCAAACCCTAAACCCCAAACCCTAAACCCTAAACCCCAAACCCTAAACCCTAAACCACCAAAAAGAGCCTGGCCCAGCACTTCGTAACGATCGCCGGAGGCGAAGCTTCGCAACTGATCCTCCTCCATGAGCTTCTCCTCACAGGTCAGTAGCTCTTGCTGCGTAAACAAGGGGCCGGAAGACTTAGAATAGGTTTTTGGGGGGATGCCATTATAGTATAATAGGGGCCGGAATAATTAGAATAGGTTTTTTGTGGGGGGGGTGGTATTTTAGTATGGTATGATTATAAGTGGGACCCCAAGGGAATAATGTTAGCAATTCTTCCGAGCCCTGTAGTACACCTTCTTGATATCCTGTGCTTCAAGTCTAGTAAACTTTACAGTGAGATGGACTCAGATGGACACGCCGCAATTTCAAGGCTCCACTCCAGACAAAAGCTTCTCAGGCTGAGCCAAGTAGCCGTAAGCAGGTCCAGGGGAATGGTGTTCCGCTGCGGGCCCTGAAGACACACGAGGCTAGGTGTCAGGGCATCTGCAGACAATGCCCCAACTCCTTTGCACGAGCGTTCTGGGGGTCTAAACAAACTGAAAAAACCCTGGAGTCTGAGCAACCAAACAGGCATTGCATGCAAATGGAAGGCCTCGACTTCGATGACCAGCTTCAGCTTGTTGATTGCCACATCCACCTTGAGCATGAAATGAAGTTCCGGAGAGAACTCAGGAGGTCTACTACGCCTTGCCCAACTCCAGCCCCATGTTCACGAAGACTTGGGTGTGCACAACTTTTGTCGTGCTCTGCTACTCGATGCGGCGCGCGCGGGTGTGTGTGTGTGTGTGTGTGTGTGTGTGTGTGTGTGTGTGTGTGTGTGTGTGTGTGTGTGTGTGTGTGTGTGTGTGTGTGTGTGTGCGTGTGTGTGTGGTGTGTGTTTGTGTGTGGTGTGTGTTTGTGTGTGGGGTGTGTTCTCTGTGTGTGTTCTGTCTGTGTGTGTCTGGGTGTGTCTGGGTGTGTCTGGGTGTGTGTATGTGTGTGTGTGTGTCTCTGTGTGTGTGTGTGTGTGTGTCTGTGTGTGTCCGTGCGTGTCTGTGCGTCCCTGTCTGTGTGTGTCTGTGTGTGTGTGTGTGTGTTTGTCTGTGTGTGTCTGTGTGTGTGTCTGTGTGTGTCTGCGTGTGTCTGTGTGTCTGTGTGTGTCTGTGTGTGTCTGTGTGTGTCTGTGTGTGTCTGTGTGTGTCTGTGTGTGTCTGTGTGTGTGTCTGTGTGTCTGTGTGTCTGTGTGTCTGTGTGTGTGTGTGCGCGCGTGTGTGCGTGCGTGCGTGCGTGCGTGGGTGCGTGCGTGTTGGTGGGTGCGTGCGTGTTGGTGGGTGCGTGCGTGTTGGTGGGTGCGTGCGTGTTGGTGGGCGCGTGCGTGTTGGTGGGTGCGTGCGTGTTGGTGGGTGCGTGCGTGTTGGTGGGTGCGTGCGTGTTGGTGGGTGCGTGCGTGTTGGTGGGTGCGTGCGTGCGTCGGTGCGTGCGTGCGTCGGTGCGTGCGTGCGTGCGTGCGTGCGTGCGTGCCTGCG